TTTTTGTTCTAAATTTATATTTAATTTGCTTGTCAGTAGAGTCCCTTTTTTGTTCTTTTGTTTAAATTAATTATTTTGCTCGTCAGTAGAGTTCTTTTTTTGTTCTTCTGTCTAAAATCAGTTTGCTCGTCAGTGGAGTTCTATTTTTGTTTTTGGAATTTTTTCTAGAATTTTGTCAATAGAGTTCTTTTATTTGTTCTTTTGTCTAAATGCATTTTACTCGTCAGTAGAGTCCCTCTTTCTTCTTTTAATTTTATATTTAAATTGGTTGTCAGTAGAATTTTGTTTTTCTTTTAGGTTAATTTTATATTGCTTGTCAGTAGAGTTCTTTTTTATTATTTCAAGTAGATATTTAATTTGCTTGTCAGTCCTTTTTTATTTTTGACATAGAAATTAAGTTTGCTCGTCAGTAGAGTCCTATTTTTATTTTTTTGTCTAAATTAATTATTTTGCTCGTTAGTAGAGTCCTTTTTGTTTTTTTAAGTTGATATTTATTTTGCTCGTTAATAGAGTCTCTTTTTTGTTTTTTCTGTCTAAAATCAGTTTGCTTGTCAGTAGAGTCCTTTTTTGTTTTTCTAAGTTCATATTTAATTTGTTCGTCACCAGAGTTCCTTTTTTATTTTTTTGTCTAAATTTCAGTTGCTCATTAGTCACTTTTTTGCCCCTTTGTCCAAATTAATTATTTCGCTCGTCAGTAGAGTCCCCTTTCTTGATCATCTGTCTAAATTCAGTTTGCTCGTCAGTAAAGTCCCGTTTTATGTTTTGAAGTTTATATTTAATTTGCACGTCAGTAGTGTCATCATTTATTTGTTTTGAATTGATATTTCATTTTGCTCGACAGTAGAGTCCTTTCCTCCTCTTCTATTTAATTTGCTCGTCAGTATAGTTCTTTTATCTAAATTCATTTTGATCGTGAGTACAGTATTTTTTTCTATCTAAATTTAGTTTGCTAAAGTTGAGTAGTGTCCTATTTTATTTGTTATAAGTTAATATTTTATTTTGCTCGTCAGTAGTGTCCTTTTTTGTTCTTCTGTCTAAATTAATTATTTTGATCGTTATTTTTATTCTTTTGTTTCAGATTTAGTTTGCTCGTCAGTAGAGTCTATTTTTTGATCTTTTATCTAAATTAATTATTTTGCTCGTTAGTAGGGTCCCTTTTTGTTCCTCTGTCTAAATTCATTTTGCTCGTCAGTAGAGTCTTTTCTTGTCTTTTAGGTCAATTTTAAATTTGCTCGTCAGTAGAGTTTTTTTATGTTCTAAGTTGATATTTAATTTGCATGTCAGTAGAATCCTTGTTCGTTCTAATATTAAAATTGAGTTAGCTTGTCAGAATAGTCTTTTTTTATTTCTTTCAAGTTTATATTTAATTTGCTCGTCAGTAGAGTCCTATTTTGCTCCTTTATCTAAATTCAATTTGCCCGTCAGTAGAGTTCTTTTTGAAGTTGGTTTGTCTGAATTAATTATTTTGCTCGTCAGTAGAGTCCCTTTTATTCTTCTGTCTGAACTCAGGTTGCTCATCAGTAGAGTCCTTTTTAATTTTCTTGAAGTTTATATTTAATTTGTTTGACAGTAGAGTCCTATTTTTGTTCTTCTGGCTAAATTAATTATTTTGCTTGTCGGTAGAGTCCCTTTTATGATCTTTTATCTAAATTAATTATTTTGCTCGACAGAAGAGTCCCTTTTTTGTTCGTCAGTAGAGTCCTACTTTATTTCTTCTGAATTGGTATTAAATTTGCTTCAGTAGAGTCCCTTTATTATCTTCTTTGATATTTATTTGGTTTGTCAGTAGAGTCCTATTTAAAATTTTCATATTGAGATTTCATTTCGCTCGTCAGTAGAGTCCTTTA